AAAAAAAAAAGTTGAAATATTTTATTCTATTTTCTTTCTCTCTCCCCCACTGGAATCTAAGCTCTATGAGGGCAGGTACTTTGTCTTGTGTACTGTTGTATCCGCAGCACCTAGATCAGTGTGTGGCATAAGTACATGACATAGGAACTTGACAATTATACAAATTATAAAGGAAAGGGTTAACCCCAGAAGATTCGAAGACAAATATATATGACATATTTCCATACTTTTATGTAGGCATCTACAACGTTCACAAGAGATTTAGGATTTAGGTAAATATATTTTCCCTGCAATGGTTTCACTGGATGGGTGACAGTTGAGACTATTGGTAAGTAGGGGTTGAGAAAGTAATTTATTAACCTGGCTCTAAAGCCCTTTCATTGGAAATTCACAAGAAAATTGGAAAGACCAGCCCATCCTATTCCCTCCAGAACCTCTGAATTAAATCCCTTCCAGCACCCTTTTACTCTCCTTCTCACATATACATGACAAGGTGCTTTGTTTATCAGGGAACTCTTCTAGCACTGTCTGGTGGAACTGAATACTGCTTAATAATCCTGTGCTGTGTGAATCCCCTCACAACCAGTGTCAGGAAACACGGAACGGGGGATGTTATCCATCTTCGGCAGTGTGGGATGCATGGAGTCCTTTGTGACTTGCTGTTGAACAATGAATGAGGCATGCTGAGGCCTTTGATGACCCGGACGTGCTGGAGATAATCTGACCCATTGTTTCATCATGAGCAGCCCTTGGTAATATATCACCGTGGAGAGTGGTTGGTTTTTTTGTTTTTTGTTTTTTTTAAGACAAACTCCTTTGGTGTTGCTGAAAGATGGACTCGGCATATTTTCCATAATGACTAAGGAAAGTAAGTTGTTATGTACTTTGTTCTATGAGTTGAAGCACTTAGAATAGTTAAACGCAAGTACTTTGGAGCAAGCAAGGTCTAAGACTGAATCTTAGTTCTGGTACTTGTTAACTGTGACCTAGAGCAAGTAACCAAAGATTGATCACTTTACAGGGTTGTTTAGATTATTAAATGAGGCGACCATGGATATACAGTGGTTAGCACATAGTGGATATTTAATTGATAGCTAAACACAAATGAAAAATCTAATTGAATACAGATTGGCAATTATCAGTAATAGGCAACTTAAAACAGAGGTTATAACTCTGTACAGGATTGTTTATGCCTTTGTAAATGTTTCTCTATAGAGACGATAAGCTTTTGTTAAAATTAATTTACTTGACAATTTAGACTTTTTCTCTGAAACTCTGCTCTCATATCTGTGCTAGACTATATAAGAATATTCCTCTGCTTGCTCCTCAAAACTAAGATTTTCTTTTTTTAAAGATTTTATTTATTTATTTATTTATTTTTGAGAGAGCATGCGTGCACACGAGTTGGGAGGCAGAAGGGCAGAGGGAGACGCAGACTCCTCACTGAGCAGGGAGCCTGATGTGGGACTCCATCCCAGGACCCTGGGATCATGACCTGAGCTAAAGGCAGAAGCTTAACCTACTGAGCCACCCAGCGACCCCACACTTAAGATTAAATACTCAAAATGACATTTAAA